TCAGTAGACCCCTCAATGCTGGTGAATTTCACTTAGCCTTGCCTCCAAAAAGTTGGACTACATTTTCGACTTCGCCTCATCGTATCATCAACAGTTCAAACGGACTCCAGACACGGGTTTTGAGAATGGTGATGAACACAGCCAGAGATGCCAATGAGTCCAAGGGCACATTTAGCATCCAGAACAAGGCACGCTTCTCCGAACTCCCAAATTACGTGTGGGTTTTTCATTGCAGTCGACAACACTACTTACATTCAATATAAGTAGTTTGTTTTATGGTAAAGACGAACGCATTGCTTGATTAATCAGGATTGCAACCATCAAAAGTGTGAGTTAATAGAGGTCGTCTACGCCTTGAATGTCGCATCTGCTCTGTTGCTGTGTAGTCAGGTGGTAAACGTACACCACGAAACTCATGACCCGGGTTCGAATCCCACTGAGGGTGCTAGTAAGAGACGGTGATGCAGGGCCGAAACTGCAATCCAGTCCAGCCTCTGGATGGGATGTAGTGTTGGGAGGCGAAGCCAAGTGAACTGCAATTGCATCTTCATCTACTCTTCTCTTCAACACTTTGTGTGTGAAAACTGAACTGTCAGTCCGTAAATGCGCTTAAACAAAGTTTCGCAGACTAATTTCTTTTGCGAGAATCACTGACAGTTTTAAATACTAATTAAATCAAATTGCTCCAAAGCTGCAAGCAGATCAGCCTCTTTTTAGGCCGTCGTGAGTCAATGCGGACGAAGAGCAATTGCGACTGGCCGGTCTCGACAGGAGTGGGTGGAAAGGGGGCTCCAGCAGGAGCGAATGCTCGTCGAGCCGACGAGTCCGGCGAACTCACGTCGAAATCGGCGTCGCTGACGGAGAGAAGGTCGGGCACGATCTCGTGCAACCGCAGCATCAGGTTGGCCAACAGTTGGTCGAACGAGATCTCGATTGCATTGGCCAGCAGATTCAGAGCATCTCGGTAGACCAGGACGGGCGCCCCGGTCGGTCCGGCGTGTTCTGGAAGGTCCGTCGGCCTCACCAAACCTGCCGAGTCGGCAGTGGACGGACCGGATGTGGCTGTGCTGCCTCCTGGGCCCGAATGCGGCCAGGCCCAGTGCTGCCAATGCTCGTCCAGCTTGAGGAGGTGCAAGAGTTCGCTGGCGTTGGCCAACCAGTAGATAAGGTGGCCCGACATCTGACCCTGAACATGCAGATTCGCCTGAGGTCCACACCGGTCGATGACCTGAGGAGGAGGAGAGAGGAAAGAGGGGGAGGAGAAGAAGAAGGAGGACGAGACGAAAAAGAAGAAGAAAGAGGAGGAAGAAGAGGAGAGGAAGAAGAAGAAGGAAGAGGAGGAGGAGGATAAGAAGAATAAGAAGGAGGAGAAGGAGAAGAAGAAGGAAGAGAAGAATAAGAAGAAGGAGGAGAATAAGAATAAGAAGGAGGAAAAAGAGATGAAAAAAAGGAAGGAAGATAAGGAGAAGATGAAAAAGAAGGAATAGGAGGAGGAGAAGAAGAAGAAGAAGGAGAACGAGCCGAAAAAGTAACAAGAAGGAGAAACAAGAAAAGGAGATGCAGAAGAAGAAGGAAGAGGAAGAGCAGATAAAGAAGAACGAAGAGTAGAAGGAGAAGAAGGAGGAGGAGGAAGAGAAGAAGAAGAAGTAGAAGGAGAAGAAGAATAATAAGAAGGAGAACGAGCCGAAAAAGAAACAAGAAGGAGGAAGAAGAAGAGGAGATGAAGAAGAAGAAGGAAGAGGAGGAGGAGGAAAAGAAAGAGGACGAGACGAAAAAGAAGATAAAGGAGGAGGAAGAAAAGGAGTTAAAAAAGAAGAAGGAAAAGAAGGAGGA